TGGGTTGTGGGTTTCGGGTTTGGGGTCGACTATGTTTGGGGGCTTTCGGGCTTAGGGTAGAGAGCACCCGACTTATAACTATACCAGCAGAGATTTACGGTTGCTTATACATAGTGGTAAACTACTTCCACTGCCTAATTTTCTGCTAGGTGCCTTTCTACCTGCCCAAGAATGTAGCAGGGCCCTACCGCAAAGTAGGCTATGCAGCTCAAAGCGCGCACCTTGCAATCCCCAAGCCCAAACCTTCCTTCAGCCCCGAACCCATAAACCCCAGTCGAAAGCAATCAAGAATCCTTATAGCATAATCCTTATAGGGAACTTAAACTCCTCTTGAAACCCACACACTAACCCTTCTAGATTAGTCACGTGCACTTCCGAACGGCTCCAGCCTTGTCGAGAAGCTTCGCGGTTGAGGCGGGTTTGCCAGGACTCTGCCTCCTGACACCAGGAGAACTCACCGGGAAGCTGTGTGAGCCGTGTAGTGCTGCGTAGTGGGGGGGGGGGGGGGGGNNGGGGGGGGGGGGGGGGGGGGCTCTAGGGTGTATGATTCGAGAAGGTTGTGGTCAGGACCGAAGCCCCGTCCTGGTCGACTCGGTCTTGAACGAAATCCCAAACAGCTGGTCACTTCAAAGCCTGCCCTCTGCCCAACCCCACGACTCGCTGGCTGTTCAGGTCCCGTTAGCTACGTCACAAACCCCAAAACCTAAAATCGTAGAGCCCTAATCGCAGAGATTCTCCACAGGCCTCGGCAGTCTCCACACAGACGATTATCCGCTCACCTGCGTGCGGCAAGCGCGTGGGTTCCAGCAGGCTGACTCTAAAATCCCACCGATTCTCACTCTCTCTGTCTCTCTCTCTCTCTCTCTCGCTGTCGCTCTCGCTATACATTCAGGTATGCATACTTGGGCCGCTGGACATAGCTGGACATCCGTGCTGAATTAGGGTTGTGGTGCTGGTGCGGGTTTGGGCTTGACAGAAGCATCCTGGATAGGGTGGTAAGGGCACGGTGCGTTGATTCTTGACCATGAGATCAAATGAACCGTCCCTTCTACAAATCAGATGGACGTGCATGCACACAGACATGCCCTCTGTCTCTTTTCTCCCCCTCACTCCACACGAGCACAAGGGCTACATACGCATGCGCACAAATTCATCACACCCAGGGAGGCACAAGCAGGACGAGAGCCCTCAGCTCGAGCCAACATCTGCCATTCTTACGAGGAGCCAAAGTGTGTGTCAGATCTTTATGGCCCAGAACCTCCACCCTAACCTATTTTTTGAACCCAGACTCTGCCAACCGCCCTAACCCTGAACCCTGAACTCCTAAACCCCTCTATAATCCCCGAGCCAAACCCTGATCAGGCCGCAATCCCCAGGAAGCTCAAAGGCCCAGGGCGACCTGTCACGCCGTCGGTGGAGGGCTCGCAGGCCAACTCGAAGCCTAGGGTTGAAGCTTCAGGCTAAAACAGGGGGGGTCCCTTTGCATTGAGGGTTCTTTGGGGTCCGTGACATTAAAGGCTTGCAGGGTCGAGGGTGAAGGATTCTGATTTTTGAGGGCTTAACAGCCCTGTTAGTCTAGAGCTCGAGGGCATCAGACCCCAGAAACTGCGCCGAAAAGCCTTGAAGAGTCACATGTATGACCCGGAACTCCGAATCCAATGGCTCTTTGTCTCGCCGAGATGCCAAAGGCGCCCACCGATCCCAGCCAGGTAGCCACCTTAGCTGTTGCAGCCGGCATTTTGGGTGTGGGGCCAGCTATCGCTATTCAGGCGCGACGCAAGTCGTGCAACTGTTGGTTCTGCTTGTAACATGTGCGGGTTTCCGAAAATAGGGGACCCTAATATAGCACCTTAAAAAATAGGATCCTTGTTATAAGGACCCCACAATAAGGTACCCCTTCTTTTCGGAACCTCCCATGTAAGTGCTCTTCAGGGCTTGCTCGGGGGCTTTGCCAGGTCTAAAACTGTTGATACCGGAGTTTCCAAACCAACACTCCTGCCGCTGACCGAAAGGATAAACGAAACACAGGAAGAAGAGGCACAACAAGATCATGATTCACTATCGTTACGAGTGCATATCTTATAACCGATAAAGTAAAGGAATTCATGCTAGCACCAAAGTCTGGCCAACATTACGTAAAACAAGGCCCCATCGTCAGCGCAGTCTCAGTACCATGAGATCAAATAACATGAGCCCGGATTGTGGCAACTCTACTTCAGAGTCGCCCGCCTCTGAAGCGAGAAGCGAAGTCAGCTGCATTACCTGTCTCTGAGTTCCACAGGCTTTGGGACACTGTGGTTCAGCATTTCATGGCTCTGGTTTTAGGGCTTCAGAGGGTTGGGTTTCTCCTGCTGGGGCGTTGTCGGGCGTGAAACTTGCTGGTAATTGTACAGGGGTCTAGTTGAAAGTTGGGGTGCAAACAAAAAACAGGCCTGGCGCACCATACTTGCAACCCGCTTCACGTGCCCAAGAATCCATGTCGCGGCATGTCGCGGCCCTTATTCTGACATTATGCACTCGCTTCCTCAGGAACCATCGTTTCCAAGCTCGAACCTGGAAGCCTGGAATCAACATAATCACGAGATCCGGAGCTGGTGCAAGGGAGTTTCGGTACAGTAGTTGTTGCCGCACTAGACTCGCTGCGTGCATGCAGGAAACCGAGCTCCGCCTCTACTTCCCTTTGCAGAATACTCCTCGAAGTCTCGGCGGGCCTCACACCCCGGTAAAGGCAGAGCCGTCTCTGGGGCATCGCCAGCCTGGACCAGAACACAAAAAGCTGCTGTGGGGGCCCATCGGGTGGTTGTGACTAGATCGGGTTTCTACAGGTTCACGGTAGGGCCGCAATGATGACAACAGGTTTTGGGGTACATGCCACGGTGCTTCCCTAACATGTCCAGACATAGTAACTCATCGACAACAATAACATCACCGATGTGTCGCATCTGCGGATGATAAGCCTGATGATGCGAATGATGATGTTGACGACACTGATGCTGAAGTTGGCGTTGATGACAATGATGATGATCGCGGCGGCGTGATGGCCATAAGGAACGCCCGGCCACACAGTAGTGAGATCGCGTCATGCCTGTGGAGGGTCACGCTGTCACCCTTCCAGTTGTGGCCGTTTGCTAAGTCAGAAGATGCTCGAAGTTAGAAGAATGTTCGACCATGTTCCTTATGGTTCCTGATTGTAGAGCACTCTAGCTTCTTCAATGCCAATCCCAGGTAAAGACCAGATTCCAGTCTAGAGAACGAAAATGCCCCAAAAAGGTGCGTTAAGGCTTCCGGAAAGCCCAGACGTCCTATTCCTAGCACCCTGAGGCCTGGATGGCCCTCCAGCTACAAGAGCCTACTTGGAGGTTCATGGGTAGTTATCAGTGGGGTCATAAGTCCCCTAATATGGCTTATAACTATAGTTACCCCACTTATAACCCCATTTATACCTACCCATGAACCTCCAAGTAGAAAAACTGCAGCTTCGCAGCCTGGATCTGCCGCAGCACCAGGTGCCGCGCGCGAACTTCCGCCCAGCACCTGGTTGAGGAAGGGGGATTGGGGCACAGGGAAGTTCGTCCCTGCTCGATTTACAAAAACAATGGCCGGCCAAGGCAGCTTGAATGGTCTGTTGTGTTTGGAGGATCATGGGACTTAGTAAGTAAGGTTATAAGTCCCCTAATTGGGGTTATAAGTATACTTACCCTAATTATAACCCTACTTACTAAGTCCCATGATCCTTTAAGTGTGTTTGGAGGTTACTATCACCCGCAGTCTTCCTGTTGGATTGTTGATCTCCGATACCATCATTCATTCATTAGGACTGCTTTTGCTGTCGCCGTGGCTGCTGCTTCACCTCCTGCTGCAACCACCACTCCAGCTACGGCCGGCCACCATTCTTACTGGAGCTAGCACTGTTTTGCCACGGATGTTCGGATTCATGTCAATGATGTTTCCTTGCCTACATCCCTACCCATGCGGTTTGCCATTCAGTTCTCCGCTCAGGACAAGGCAAAAAAGGCCCGATGGAAGGCGTTTCATTTCGAGAGCTCATAGGGTCTTAAGATCCGCTGACACAAGCCACAGGCCTCAACAGGAGAAGAGCTCTGTTCAGGGCTCAGGGTTTTGGGTATGTTGCAAATGACTCTTGCACTCTCTATAATGAACCCAGGGAGTTGGAACATGGATTTGGGATGATCTGTGCTCAAATCCCTTATGCCTTACCTTAAGGGCATGAGGATTACGATGTTCCAATTTTATGGCTACTACTATAGGACTCTAGCATCAGGACTTCGGAAGACTCGGAACTGAGGCACCCGTGGTCTCTACTCCGACGCCAGAGCGTGGAAGATCAGCTTTTCATGGGCACGCGCTGTGGGGCCTGGCCGCATGCGAGGCTCGATCCTGCATCATGCCACTACTTGTATCACTGATGGCTATCTGCTCTTTCCCGAGGCCGGAGACCAAATGTAGATGCTGTAGTTGCCCCACTCGAAAGTTGCCTCAGTGTCGACCGGAGCCAGGCTCAAGCCAACTGTAGCCGAGGAAGTGGACACGACGACGTTGTAGGCGTCGTCACTCCAGGCCTGTCTAATCTTCTTGCGGATGCAGCTGGCAAAATCGAAGTTGACGGCCGTGTAGCAGGTGACGATAGTATCTTCTAGCGAGGCTAGGGAATCACCCCAGAAGCCGTAAGTCGCATAGAGCAAGGCTTTCGGACGTCCTGGTGGCTCCTGCGTGGCAGCTTGGAGCTGTGACTCATCGTGCATGCGGACTGAAGAGCATGCTGTCAGCAGGCCGGCAAGGACTGCCTTCCAAAGAGTTTCCATGCGAAGATTATTTTGCAAACTGCGCGGCTCGGTTAAATGCTTCCAAGCTTGAGGCTTGAGCCGTCCAGAACGCGAATGTACTCGCCGCCGTGCTGGATGAATTCGTGATCTTATGACTACCCCATGAACACCGAATCCAATGAGGCAGCAGCCATGACATGGGTCGCAGGTCCATCAGCTTAGGCTTTCTCGGGTTCGGTAAACCTTCACTCCACCAATCACGTCACTAATCCGAAATCGTGCTAAAACATCTTGAATAATACGATCATGTCCCAAGACAGAAAGAGCGGCTGGAGTTCTTATTCCGGACCTGGTCTTGTCCTCAGACTTCGCGCACCCAGCCCTGGGACCCTTCTTGGGACGACCGAGGCGCTTCTCCCACACCGGCCGTCGGAACAAACGAGGCTGCAGGAGCCACACGAAAGAGCCCGGTTGGCGCGGTGTCCTGCAAGTAGCTGACATGCTCCAAAGGCTGACATAAGCTGTTCCTTTTCAGGGATACAGCCGTTGTGTTGTATGGACACGCAGCACCATTCCGCAACGAAGTGCTGATGCACTTGGCGCAGCTGCGGCTCCTGCCACCATCCTCCAGCGTAGGCTGCCTGCGGCTGGGTAGCTCAAACAAGCTTGAGTCCAACCAGCTCCTACAGGCTCAAGCCAAGAATCACAACCTCCGAGAGCCCATATTGTTTGCTTATACATATACATATATCATAGTTATATATATATATATATGTATGTATTTATGTGTTTACTTATGTATACATACTTAATTCCTTGAGTCCCTCACTTCACCCGCAATCTTCCAAATGAAGACATCTCTACGCTGAAAGCCGTCGAGTGGGAACCAAAGACCCGAGAGGCTTGAGGCATAGCCTTTCCCCCCAGGTACCTACTATATAGGGTACTAGAGCCCCTAGGGCCCTATATAGTAGGTACCTGGGGGGGTTAGGGTAAGCCAAACAAGACACCCCAGTAAACATAGTTACCTTCGCATCCTTCAGGCGAACTCGGACCGGGGACCCTGACGACAACAACCTGCACATGGATTGCACCGCCACTGCTTCTCTTTCTTCTTCGATCAGACAAAACTCAAACTTTCTGAGACAGACCGATAATTTAATCAGCAATGCCAAAAAAGATTAAGGTTCATTGGCTGTCTAAGACTTATTTCTCTGGCTCACTCGGATCTTCACCGGCACCAGTCTGATCTTCGCTAGCTTTCGGGGGAATGATCTCCAACGTCCCGCTACGAGACCATCTAACCCGTGCTCTGCTCATCCTGCATTGGGCACATGCGAACCTGTGCACAACAATTTTGAGGAGGCGCCATTACAAATATGGTGGCCGTCGGAAACCAGAGGATGCAAGGCCCCTTAGTTATTCACCTGATTCTCCAGTCTGCGGGTGGATAAACCGCCAAGCCACAACTAGAAAGTTTGCAGATCTAATTGGTTATCAGCTGCTGACTCATTGGCTTTTGCCAAACCCCCTGGGCTGCCGCACGAAGCTGCACGCACCCACCGCAGCCGGCACAATCGCGGTCTGTCCACTTGTGGAGGATGTTATACTATGGTTACTCTGCGGCAAAACCTTTTGGTATGATGGTTGACGGCCAGGTGGCGACGACGACTACTACTACTGGTACTGGTACTGGTACTGGTACTGGTACTGGTACTGGTACTGGTACTGGTACTGGTACTGGTACTGCTACTCCTGCTCCTGCTCCTACTCCTACTCCTACTCCTACTCCTACTCCTACTCCTACTCCTACTCCTACTCCTACTCCTACTCCTACTCCTACACTGCTACTACTGCTACTACTGCTACTACTGCTGCTGCTGCTACTGCCATGCTGCTTCTACTACTACTGCTGCGACTACTACTTACTACTACTACTACTACTGCTGCTGCTGCTGCTGCTGCTGCTGCTGCTGCTGCTGCTGCGACATTTCTGCCTACTCCGGCCCATGTTTCTGCCACTTACCACAAGTTTGCGACGCGATCGAACATCTGGGAGCAAGGATGGTTGAACTCAGATTCGAGATTTTGCAACAACTAGGCACAAAGTGTGTAGAGTTGTGGTGTTCTTGGTTCGACATGTCTGAAGACGACGTACGTCCGTTAGTGATGTCTTCGACTGCTTTTGCTCAGGAGCTGAGGAAATCCCCAAGCCCTATAAACCCTGAACCCTAAATTACTAAAGCCTCAATAACCGGAAACCGCAGTTTCTCTCCCTGCGGCCTTCGTGGCCAAGATCTTGGTACCTGCCCAAAGAGCATGTCAAGGAGAGGTTTACGCAGGGTTACGGGGCCTAGACGGTAGCTTGGGTTCTAGGTTAAGGGCTTATAGTAGTCTTCGGATAAGTCGTGGTAGAAACAAAATATTCACCTCGCATGTAATGCTCCTAGTCAGCTCCAGTTCCCAGTACCTCCCAAAGAAAGAAGAAAGCGTAGGCCGGCCACCACGAGACCCTGTTTGCAGCAGGCCTGGGTGTCCAGCAGCCCGGTCTAGCACGAGACACTAAGCTCCCAAACCTAGTCAGTTCCGTTTTTTCCCGAAAGCATCGCGAAGGGTTCTTCCGTGCGGAGCCCCGCAGAGAAAATACATAGAGAATACATGGGGTCAAGTACACTTGACTTTACCACACTTGACTCTACGACACTTAGCTTTACCACACTT